CACGCCCCGTTGTCCAGCATGAGTTTAAGCCACCAGGTGCGGGACTTGAACCGCGGTCGACTACATGGGAGTCCAGCGACATAGCCTTACGCTAACTGCTGGTCCCACCCTTTAGCCCGATTTTTAAAAATGAAAAAAAAAAAAAAATCCATCCAGCAGGTGACGCGGAAGTGAAGGGACTAGATCCCACATTAAAGATTTTGCAGTTGGAGTCTCAGACCCGGCAGCTTAAAGACCAGCCCCCGTGCATGTGTGCGCAGGTCCAAAATCCCAAGAGCAAAGTAGAGGAGAAGGGACTGCGGCCACGCCCTTTAGCCCGATTTTTAAAAATGAAAAAAAAAAAAAAATCCATCCAGCAGGTGACGCGGAAGTGAAGGGACTAGATCCCACATTAAAGATTTTGCAGTTGGAGTCTCAGACCCGGCAGCTTAAAGACCAGCCCCCGTGCATGTGTGCGCAGGTCCAAAATCCCAAGAGCAAAGTAGAGGAGAAGGGACTGCGGCCACGGCCCTGCGGAGTGACTTTCCCTCTCTCTAGCAAGCGCACGGCATCCTATAGCAAAAACTAAAAGGGGGACCAGCAGTTAGCGTAATGGCTATGTCGCTGGACTCCCACGTAGTCGACCGCAGTTCGCATCCCGGACCCGGTGGCTTAAAACTCACGCCGGGCGCGTGTGCGTGCATGCCCAAAATCCCGAGAGGAGAATGGAGGAGAAGGGATTGCGGTGTGGCCATCCCCCCGGGGGTGATTTCTCGCTTTCTGTCTCTCTGTCTCTCTCTGTCTGTCCGGTGAGTGCATGCACCCAATAGCGAAAATCTCTCCCCCTCCCGCCCCCAAAAAAACCCCCAAAACTAAAAGGAAACACAAAAGCAATCCCTCCCTCCCCCCAAAAAAGCAGCCCCAAGAATGTGGGACTAGTAGAATGGTCATTGTAGAGAAGAGGAAAAGGAGGTCCAGGGAGGTTACGACGTGACACCTGCCCTGGGTGACACAGCCAGGATGTGACACAGCCCAGACTGCACTTCTCGACTCTTTCCTCACGTGCTCACTGCTACCAGACATCAGATCTGGTCTGTCTCCCTCTTAAATGTGAGCTACCTGGGACCAGGACGCTTAATGTGTCACCCCGCACCGTGTCCCCAAGGCCGGGGAAGAGCCCCTGGGGATGGTGGGCGTTTCCTAGGTGTTTACTGACTAGATAAATAAATGAAGGGGGACAGAGAGAGCCTCGAGCCCTCTCTAGGTGGTTTCAAAGCCCTCTGCCCGTTCCTCCCTAGCCCAAACAGGTCTGGGGAAGTCTGACTCACGCATTTTTCGTGCCCTTCTGCCCACAGAACTCGCCTCGGCTGTCCGTGGGGTAGATCACCTTCCGAGGGTCCCCGTGGGTCCAGGCTGCAGAGGGATCCAGGGATGATCAGGTACCGTCGCTCCCCAGCACCTAGCCCTGCCCGTGCTGTGGAGGTTGAGGCTGCACCCCCCACACACCCTGGGGGGCCCCAATCCTGCCCCCTCGTCTACCCACCTATGATGCCCACAGCCACATAGCCCACGATGGCCAGGAAGAGGAAGACACAGCAGATGACATCCGTGCAGCCCCTGTGAGCAAAGAGGAGTGTCAGGGTCCATGCAGCCTTCCACACGGCCTCCACGCACACCCTGCCCACGTTTCACTGCTGTGCCCCAGGGCACCAGGCACTGGGTACATTTTCATACCTAATGCTGCCCTGTCCTTAAATCAGATTACAACAACCATCAACTCTCTTTTACTGGAGACTGCCCATTTCCCCACGTCTTTACCAGCAATAAGTATTAACATTTTTAACTTTTTTTTTGGAGAGGTTTTTGCTATAGGGTGTGTGCACTTGCCAGAAAGATAGAGAGACAGAGAGACAGAAAGTGAGAAATCACCTCCCCCGGGGGGATGGCCACGCCGCAATCCCTTCTCCTCCATTCTCCTCTCGGGATCTTGGGCACGCATGCACACGCACCCGGCGTGAGTTTAAGCCACCAAGTCCGAGACTCAAACCACAGTCAACTACATGGGAGTCCAGTGACATAGCCATCATGCCAACTGCTTGTCCCCAATTGTTTTTTTTATTTTAAACTGGTCTTTAAAGAATTATTTTATTTAGGTTTATTTTATTCATTGATTCATTGAATCATTTACTTATTTAAATTTGACCAAAGAGGGACAGAGTGAGAGAGAGAGGGAAAGTGAGAAAGCAAACCACCAGGTCCGGGACTCAAAACCGTGCTTGGCCATGTGTAAATCTAGTGCCCTTAACCACCATGCCACCTACTAGCCTCAAATTTTACACTGTTTTTATTATCATAGGTGAACTAGGAACACAGTAGAAGTTAAAACCATACAGGAGTGTTGGACCAGTCAGTTGGACAGTGTTTAAGGCAGCTGGATCCCACATGCCAACTATGTGGTTTGAATCCCAGACCTTGCAGCTTGAAAAATACACAGGGTGGGACCAGCAGTTGGCATAATGGCTACATCGCTGGACTCCCATGTCGTCGACCTCGGTTCAAGTCCCAGACCCTGTGGCTTAGTATGCATGCCCAAGATCCCCAGAGGAGAATGGAGGAGAAGGGATTGCGGAGTGGCCATTCCCCCGGGGAGGGGGGGGTTGCTTTCTGGCTTTCTGTTCTTCTCTCTCCGTCTTTCTGGGGAGTGCAGGTGCCCTACAACAAAAACCTCTCAAAAAAAAAAAAACATATATATTTAGATAAATACAACACTTGAGGAACACAGATACAGATGCACATTAAGGCAATTTCCTATTTCCCAATCTTTTTTTCATCTTTGTTAACCCGAAATAAGGAACCGCTGCAGTATTTCCTTATCACTTCAAAGCGCATTCCTTCAAAAGCGCATTCCTTTCCGCACCTTCTGGTAAGTTCACTGCCAGTACCAAATATTTCTCTTGCTATAAAATGATCTGTTGCATACCTGGCTTCTTGGAATGCATTTGGAAAGACTCTTTGTATATAAAGAAATGAGTCTTTTGGTCAAGCTGCAGTTATCAGGTTGCTGGAGAAGACATGGGGGGTGATGGGAGTGGGGTTGCTGGGGGACCTTCCCCCCTCATCCCCGCAGGAGCCCAGAGCTCTTACCTGTTGTAAATGGGTCCTTTGAAGGTGGGGTCATACTTCTGCGGTGTCCCTGAAAGTCAGTAAGATTAAGCTGAGTGGGCCAGAGGAGCCCAGGCAAGGCCGGGCTGCAAGACCCGGTCCCCCAGAGGCCCTGAGGGGTGTCTCTTCCAGGGCAGGAATAAAATTCCCAGCCCTTGTGGGTTTTCCGGAGCCAGGCCACCTCTGGGCGACCATGCCAGAGCCCCCAGTCTGTGCAGGCCAGAGCTTGGGACTGGAGGGCTGACCACATGTCAGTCACTTGGTGGCCCCCTCCTGGGAGAGGGCTGGAGGGGGTCAGGGGGTAACCAAGCGCAAAAGGGAGGTTTCCGGATTCTCCGGATTCTGGGGAGAGAGCTCCCGCAGGACACCCGGGCTGGAGCTGCACCAGAGGTGGGGGATTTGGAGAACTGGGTTGAGAGGTGCAGCCGGTAATGGTGGGGGGCTCTCGCCTGAGATCTGCAATTCTGCTTCCCTTTTTCTGTTCCCCCATCCCACCCCCGGGCCGGGGTCCTCCCGCTGTCCCCTGCACGTGGCCACCCCCAGAGGCAGGAGGGGACGCTCCCTACCGTGCTTCCCATAATAGTGCGGCTGCTCGCCCCCCATGCCGGCGCGCCCCCCGCCCCCGCGGGCACACCGCCCTCGCCGCGCCGGCCCAAGCCGGTCAGACCGGCCCCGCGCTGGGCGGCAGTCTCGGGACCAGGGACGGCCAGGGCCGGGCGGGGTGACAGCTGCCACCGCCACTCACCGGCCGGCCGGATTTAGCCCGCCCCGCCCCCGTCCCTACCCTGCACCGTGCACAAGTGCAAACTGAGGCTCCAGAGCTAGACCCCTGGTGGCGGGGCCCAGCCAACCCGCTGTGCAAGTCAGCTGCAAAAGGAGGAAAGCGGATGGGGCCGCGGTACAACGCGATGCTCGCGGAGACTAACCCAGATGGGAAGGTCCCAGGTTCAGATCCGGAGCCCTCCCTGACAACACCCTGGGCCTGGATTGAGGCCTGAAGATACCAGGGGGGAGGGGGCTGTCTCTCTCTGTCACTCTGTGTGCCTTTCTTTCTCCAGAAGTTTAAAAAAAAAAAAAAAAAGCTGGGGGCCAGCAAGTGGCATAGTGGTGAAGGCACTCCACTCCCACATGGCAAACCAGGGTTCCAGTCCCGGACCTGGCAGCTTGAAAAATCATACCAGGGGGACCAGCAGTTAGCGTAATGGCTATGTCGCTGGACTCCCATGTAGTCGACCGTGGTTGGAATCCCGGACCCAGTGTCTTAAACTCACACCGGGCGCGTGGGCGTGCGTGCCCAAGATCCCGAGAGGAGAATGGAGAAGGGATTGCGGTGTGGCCATCCCCCCTGGGAGGTGAGTTCTCATTTTCTATTTCTATGTCTCTCTCTGGTGGGCACACGTGTCCTATAGCAAAAACCTCCCCCCCCAAAAGAAAAGGGAAAAAAAAAAAAAAGAAAGAAAACCATACCAGGGGTGTGTGTGTGCCTGCGCCTAAAATCCCCGGGGGAGAATGGAGGAGAAGGGATTGCGGAGTGGCCACCCCAGTTCCTTCTCTGTCGTTCTATGGCTACACATGTGCCTAAAAACTAAAAACCAAGCTAACCAGACCAGCAGGTGGCATGGTCAGCTGCACATTTCAATCCCAGACCCAGTGTCTTCAAAATCATGCTGGAGACCAGCAGAAGGTATAATGGCTATGTTATGTCGATGGACTCACACCTGGCAAACAGGAGTTCGAGTCCTAGACCCGGTAGCTTGAACCTCACTCTGGGCACATGCACATGCATGCCCAAAGTTCCAAGAGGAGAGCGGAGAAGGGATTGCAATGTGGCCATCCTCCCTGGAGGGTGACTTCTTGCTTTCTGTCTGTGTCTCTGGCAAGCGCATGCGCCCTACAGAAAAAAATCTCTCTAAAAGAAAAAAAAAAAAAAATCACTCTGAGTATATGTGCATGCAGCCCAGAATCCCAAGAGAATGAAAAAGGGGTTGGGAGGACTGGCAGGTGGCATGGTGGTTGGGGCGGTGGACACTCTCACATGGCCGACCACAGTTCAAGTCCTGGACCTGGTGGCTTGCTTTCTCACTTTCCCTCTCTCTCTCTCTGTCTCTCTCTGGTCAAATTAAAAATAAAGAAAGAAAGAATTAAATCAATAATTTAAAAAAAAAATAAAAAGGAGAAGGGGAAAAATTTAAAAATTAAAGGGATTGGGTCATAGCCACCCCCTTTGAGGGTGATAGCTCACCTTCCCTTTCTGATTCTGGGGAGGAAAATTATTTATTTATTTATTT